TTTACTTCAGTGAAACAAGACCATTCTCTTGAGATTGAGTATTTCGTTCGTGCGTTGGTGGTCATACTAACAACAGCATGAGACACGGTTTAACTCTGCACAATTCAAGCAGTATGCTGAATCGGATGACTGACCAGTCCCAGCGTTTCTGTCCGTGCTTCATGGGTCTTTTTCAAGGTACAGAGGAGGGTTGGCTTCGTTCGCGGCTGTTCTAATGTTTGTCGCCAGAGGGCCTGTTGTGAATGACAGAAAGAACTTTCGACGTCGACTCATTTCTTTAACTTAAAGAAGGTCGGTGAGACACGGGGCGAAACATCGGTACAGTTAATCATCCGATTGCGCTGTGTGTAAATAAACCATGTTTTATGCTGTTGCCATAACTCTGTGAGAGTAATATTCGCTATGAGTATCTCTATAATGATACCTGAACTAGTAGTTAGCGAATACTGTGAACGATTGGTGAATATAACGGTACTTTTCATGTTTTGATAATCATATAAATTGTTCATCTTTCGGATCTTAGTCGTCATGGGAGTCGTTTTCCTTTTCAGTAGTGGTATGTGATTGACAAAAAGCTTTCAGCCCTCCTTTTCAGTTTACTTTGCTTGCCTCATCAGCTGGAAGGTGGCTTTCATACGCTAATATCGGCAAGTATTCATCGTTAATGCTAGCAGCTGCTTCGTCAGCCGTTTTGTCAGCGGCTTTCCTGCTGCCACTCATGTGTTTCCGTTGCAGTTGCTAGCTGGTCTTCAGTTGAGTAAAGGGCAAACGTCATGTCGAGTCTGCAACTTCCCGACGTGATTCTGGAGCGCATATTTCGCATGCTGTCCATGGACGATTGGCGATCCTGCGAAAAGACGTGTCGAAGGTTTTGGGTCTTTTTCGCTCGGATCATGTGGCCTCGGGTGAAGAGGTTGGATATCAACAAAACTCTGTCGAAGAGATTCTTCGTAGACGAGCATCGGCTCAACCTGAACCTTTTGCGGTATTTGTTTCTCAAATGCGTAGCACTGCGAAGCGTGTCGATCGATCCGTTGGGGAAGAACAAGTACCACTTTCAGGCGGTTTGCTGGATCAGCCATTCATGCCTGGAACAGCTTTGTAACATTTGCCCACTTCTAACGGAGCTGTGCTTCCGTTCTTGTGTATTTTCTTCCTTTTACGTTTTTAAGTACCTCCAGCACCTTCCACCCACGCTGAAAGCACTCAAAGTCGAATGGTGCCGGGTGGACGAATCAGGACACGACGGGACAGTAGATGGCGCCGTTTCGTCTATCTTAAGCTGTTTACATAAGCTGGAAACTTTCAGCTTACGTGGCACTTGTTACGGCACTTGCAGAATGACGGACAGGTCACTAGAACGTCTGCCAACTTCGTTGAAAATTATTGATTTATCGGAAAATTTTGAAACCAGGATCGCCAACTTAAATTGGTCCCGTTTCTTGTCTCGTCTACAGGAACTGCATTTGGAGCGAGTCTCTGTTACCTCACATGACCTGCAGTGCCTCTGCCAATCTTGCCCTGACCTAAAGTCACTCACTTTAGCGTATGCAGACCAGATCAGCGACTTTTCCACGATTGCTGTTTTACGCGAACTTCGGGGGCTCAAACTGGATGGCAACCGAACACATGTGATCGACGATGCGTTGGCGAAGATCTGCAATGGTTGTACCCGTCTCGTATCGTTGTCTTTGGACTGTTGCTGCGCTCTGACGGTCTCTGGTATAAAGAATCTAGCCAAATTGCCGCAGCTTGAGTTCCTAAACCTTAATAGCATCCGCTGCGTAAACGATGAATGCCTGGAAACCATATGTTCGAGTTGCACTCATCTTTCTAATCTGCAGATCAAATATTGTAAGCAGTTAACCATCCAGGGACTTCTTTGTTTGTTGAAACTTTCTCAGCTGGAGAGGGTCGGCCTCAGTGGCCAGGACGCCGTCGACGCCCAGTTGCTTGATCAGCTTCGCTCGCTTCGAACGTTGAAATGCATTGAAACGGAAAACTGTCAGCATCTGAAATAGGCTAGAGTTTTGCAGTTGCCTGTCATGCTTTATCACTCTAGGAATTTTCGCTTGTCTCTTTTCCTGATGCCTGTGCACTATGCCTGTGAAAATATGGCTAAACTATTTTGCTTTTCTGTCTGTTTATGCTGTTTGAAACGTTAGCCACAAAGCCTTGCTTATATCCCGTGACAAGACAATCTCTCGCCTCAAAGTGGGATACAATTTGCCTGAAATTTAGAGTATCTTCATCTTCATCTCCCATCGCCGCTTTTCCTTTCGGGTCGCGGAGGCAGACGCGTCAGACAGTGCTTCCAACGTTCCCGATCCT